TTTAGTTTCAAGAATCTTAATAAAGTACTAGCGTAACTGCTTAAGGTTAAAAAAAAAAAAAAAAAAAAAAAAAAATAGTTAATTTTACTAGCAACTGAAAAAAAAGATGCAAATGCAGCAAGATTTTTTATTTGCATTTCATAGTTTTCATGATAAATACTAATCTTATATCCAATTCAATAACCAATTTAGCAAAAATAATAATAACAAACTTTAAGTACATTATTTTAATTATATTCAATATCTTTTATTCTTAGATTTTTGTTATGCAAATACTTACAAATTGCAATATTATTGATAGTTTAAATTAACTTCAAAACTCAACTAGTAGCTTGATAGTTTATAATACTTTTAAGTTTATTTAAAAAATGAACTCCAAGACTTATAGCCATATTAGTGATACTATAATCTAAAAAAATATTTATTAATGCAATATATATATCTTTTGAAGTATGCTATTGGTTCAACAAAGGCTTTGCATTTTTGTTTTTTTCTCTATATAAAATTAATCTATAAAAAATTGCTTAATTACAAGCTATGTCTAAGCATCCAGTATTATATATTTTTACATCATTATAAAATAAATTATATGCATTATAAATATTTGCATCACAATTTAAATTATCTCCAGAACTAAATATTACAACTTTAAGAAATAGCATTTAACATTCAATTAGAATATCTTTAAAAATTTCATTAAGAACACAGCTTATATTCCAATTCTCAATTCTTAAAAACAAAAGTTTCTAAAATGTTGTTTTATAAGCTTTAAGAAGATTATCAGTAAAAGTTGAAGTCTCAAAAAGAGAATAATTAATTTTACAAGAACTGCTAATATTTATATAATTATAACAATGCAATTGCATAAGCATTATAAACTAAAAAACTATTTTTAATATAGCATGTATAGTTTTTTACACTGCATTATAGATATTTTTATAAACAAAAGTTCTTTCTATGAAATCAATATTATCAATAACTAAGATATTTCATATATATTTATTATATAATAATTTTGTTTTAGGTTTTGTTTCATGTTATCAGATCTTATTAAGAATTTTCTTATACTGTTGTATGTGTAATATTGCATTAACAATACAAAGTAAATTGTATAAGAAATAGTATAGTTTCAGCTTTCTATACAAAGAACTTATTATATAAGTCAGCCATATATTTATTTTCAGAAATGCAATATTTTTTTTTTAACTATCTCTGATGCTTTACATCATAAGACACATGTAGCACTCAAATTTTTTTATTAACTTTAATGTTTGGTACTTGCAAGTTTATATATTTAGTTGCTATATACATTACCAATAGTGTTTCCTAGCCATACTATACCATATTATTAACAAGTTTATTACTATTGTGATAGCCTGGGTCTTTGGTCCTGTGGTATAGGACTCCTTACTCAAGTCTGCAGTTTTCTATCAACAATAGTTTTTATAAGTTCTGTCTTATTATCTATTGCTTTTTTACAATAATTTTTTTCTAATCTGGGCACCTTATATTATCAACATTTCTTGTTAGATTATCTCATTATCTAGGCATCATGTAACCCTGTGGCTATGTCACTTGACTTATTCTTGCTATAGTACTTTGTCCAAAATTGAAAGTAGGAAATTCTTGTAGATTATAACAATTATGGTTCTTACACAACTTTTTTTCCCAGTTGGAATTGAACTAGCAATCTTATAAATGTGACCTGGAAGTGCTAACCACTGTACTATTGATCTGCAGGTCAGAAATGCAATATTTAATATTATTAAAATAAGAAATATTGATAGTTTTATTATATAATTCTTGTCAAAAGCTTTAAATGATAAGCACTTTTTTTTTTTTTTTTTATAAACATATTATATTTTTTTTATTGTAAAGTTTCAATAAATTCATTAAAAAAATTAGCAATATATAATAAGAATCTATCTTGGTACTTTATTAATGTTTCTGAATTTTTAAGATTTATTTTTTTATTTTATACTTTATATTATACTTTTCATGTTGCAATACCTAATACTTTTCTTAAGTTTAAAACCATTTCTGAAATAATATCACATTTTTGATCTACAATATTTGTCAAATTAACATATTTTAGTCTTAATATTATTTTAATAAACATAGAACTAGATAAATTTATAATTGCTTGAAATAATTTAATACCAAAAAATAGTTGTAAAATAGAAATCAAGTATGTCAAAGAGCTTTTTTTTTATTCTTATCAACAGTTTTAGCTATATATAAAATCCAATAACCCAAAATTTAAAGTCTATTATTTATATTATTTTTATATAAGTGCTTGCATTTAAATTTTAGGTTTCTATAACTCTGTTGTTCAAAAAAATGATTTTCATATTTAATAAAACATTATGAATATATATATTTAAGACAGTATTCAGTTTCTTAATTATTTGCATCATTATCTAATTTCTCTTCATTAAATATAAGACAAGTCATAAGACCTATACAAAGTATTTGTATATTTTTTCTAAAAACATTTTATGAATACTGCATGCAAGTTCTAGTTCTACTAAAAAAATATTTATATTTGTTACAAAATAGGCATCTTTAGTAAAATATTCAACTAATCTTTCTTTTTAATATATAAATTATGAAGTTGGTTTTGATTAAAAAGAAAATATAATTGACAGACCCCTATCATTAATAATTTTTAATGCTAATTTTGTTAAAAAATTTTACCATTTATTTTCTATGTTTCAATGAACTGAGAAAGTAGTTTTTGTTTTTGTTAGTAGTTTCTATAGCATTTAATAATATTATTAATAATATCCAGAATCAGGCAAGTACACAATAGAGTTTTGAGACAGTTAAACTTATTATATATTAGGAATGCATTCTGGAACTTCTAAATGCCAAATATTATATCAAAATTTAGTTAGATTTAAAACATATTAGGAATACATTCTGATGTCTTCTAAAGAACAGGAACTATATTAATTTTTAATTAAATTTATTAAGTCCAATAATTTATAAACATATTAGGAATATATTTTGAAGCTTCTAAAGATCAGAAATTATATTAATTTTTGATTAGATTTTTTAAAATATTAGGAATACATTTTAGAAAGTTCCAAAGGCCAGAAACTATATTAATTTTTGATTAGATTTATTTAGTCTAACTGTTTTTATTACCTTATAAATAAGTTTAACAATTTATAAATATAGCAAAAATATATTCTAAGGCTTTTATAAGCTTTAAAATTATATTTATTTTTTTAGTTATATTTATTATTGATTTCAGATTTGTTAGATTTATTTATAAATATCTCTAACTATTCAAAAATTATTTTTAAAAGAATTTATATGTTAATTACTATATCAAGAATCATGTGATCTTTTAAATCAAATGAACTTTTCTATAAACAAAAATGACTTTTATACCAGCTAGCTCATTAAATATCATAATTATTAAATAAATCTATCAAGATTTTTGTCCTAACTTTTCCTTATGGAAAAATACAGTGAAATAATAAACATTTGTACAAAAAGGTGAGTAATTATAAATAAAAGTAAATAGGTACCAGTTTCGGCATATTTTGATGCCATGTAGTACGTAATCAACGGCCGGTACTACAAAGTCGTGGTTCTACGTACTTTCAATAATCAAATCATCCTTTTTGTATGTTGGATTCTCCCATAAATTTTTACTTAAGAATGGATATAAGATAGATTCTATTTTAGCCTTATAGTTAGTTCTCTATAATCATACTTGAATCAATAATGGATTACAAACATCTTGTAAATTAAATTATTTAAAGAACGGTATTCCTCTTTTATAAATGTTCTATTACTTGAATTATTATAGTGTTCGTCAGGTATTCGATCATCATCATCAAGAACAACGCGTTCTATATGTTTTTCGAATTCTGCAGGAATATCATGTACTACAATATTTTCATTGATATGATGCCAAACATCTCTTAACTCCAAATGCGCTTTCAATGAACGTGAAATTTTTTTTCTCGTATCAATTACGCCTGATAAAATAACATCATCTTTTTGAAGATCCGAGAATTGAATCCAATTGCTTAATATTTTTACTACATTGTTATCGCTATTTATTGTTAACTTAAAAAAAATAAATTAATGTATAATGCTTAATTCTGTAATTTATTATTATAAAAAAGCTAAAAATAACTTACGTTTGAAATATTTTTTATGGCTTCACTAACTTTCGACATGGTATCATATATTTTTTTACATCTCTGTAAATCATATTTTATAGCCTCGTTTTTTGAAAACTTAAAAAAATCTTCAATATCTTTTCCTTCTTTTGCTAAATTATATTTTCTCCATACGTTCTTAATAGTACTTGCTTTCTATAAAAAAAGGGCTCATTATTACATCACTACTAAATAAATCGCAATAATATTTATAGTAATATTATCAGAAAAATATGATACAGCTGGCAAAGATATATTTAAAATACAGCGCTCGGCCAGTGTATTTGAATATAGCAAACGAAGCTGGCGAGGATATATTTATGCTCCGGAAACATAAATATAGAGCCCGGCCAACATGTTTCTTTGGCGAGGATATAATATAGAGCCCAGCCATTTACCTCACTCATATATCATCATTTGAATACATTTTTCATTTTTTATAAATACATAATTCTCTTACCTTTGTCTTACTTATATTATGTACTTTATTTTCGTAAAAGTTGTGTATGCTTCTTTTCCAATCCGTAGTAAAGTTATTCACACAACCAAGAACGAACGCCAGTAAAATAAATTTATATAACATTATTTCTGCGTCATCAACTTTCACAAGCTTCAGCCTTTCAAAAGCCTCATCAAGAACCTTATCAATTTCCATTCTGAATTTGGTTAACGTTAATAATGAAGTCCGATTGTGATATTGCTATTCTTTGTTATAACCCTGCATGATTTTTGCAACAATCAGAAGTTTCGCAAATAATTTTTTGAGTATTTTACCAGGTTTTTTGTCCCTGAAATAATCATCACATGAGTATGGCCGAATTTATTTTAGGAAAATGTTAAAATGGATCTTTGTGCATGTGCCCGAATACAGAGAAATATATTGGATGAATAAAATACGTAGAGGCAAGACGTATACGTGTTATTATTTAATTATTCGAGGATATAACAGATAGGGCTTGGGTTCTTAGAGAATTTTCACATTCACATCGCTTATATATTCCATCCGCCACCTTTTTGCATGTTTTGCAATATAGGTGTGAATGATGATTGCA